TTTCTCTTCTTCGCCTTGTTTAAGCTCTTTGTCTTCTATTGCCAATGACCACTTCTCCATTGTCTCTTCAAGTTTGGCACTGAATTCCTTTATACGTCTAATTGATGTTTCAACATTTTTTAGGAGAGCCGATGGATCCTCCTCTGAAATGTCGGCCGTCACAAATTCTTCACTCCTTTTCATCTCTTTATCTATAAGATTCCTGTACCTGGTACAGAGTCCCTTGAGATAGGTCACAGACATTTTCTTTTAGTTGAGTCAACACAATACGCGTATATACGAAAGCTTTTTGGTTCCCACAACGGCTTCCCGGGTTCCGGCACCAATCAATGTGGCGACTGACTACTGATCCTGAATATAACACTGTTTTCTGGTTTCATATTTATTTAATAAACATGATAAACAAGCACATAAACATTCAACGATCTACCTTTCTATCTTCTGCTCAACTTACTTCCTATTTTCTCAACAACACAAAAGATAAACAAACGGACAAAAACGGAAACGGACTAAAAAATACACCATAAACTCTGACCGGACAAAAACGGACACATAAATAATTACACTTATGACATACAATAACAACGTCAGAAAATCATAATAAAATAGAAATGAATAGGAAATTAAACATTGTTAATGTTAACACATTCACAACAGCGCCCGAATGTTGGATTGGGCACAGCTTTCAACATACTGCTTGTGTAAAGCATCTTTGGTATCTGAACATGGTAAAAAGACAGGAGGTTCTGTGTCCCTTCCTCTGGTTCCTGCTGGCTGGGGTATTCCGTGTTGACTCGCATAGTTTATCAAGTACTGCACCGCATTTTTGACTTCTTCAAACTTGAAAGCATTTGGGGCTTTTCTTCCCTTGTTACCATGGACACGAGGAGTAATGCCTTGAGATTGCAAATGTTTTTGAAGGCTGTCTAACGTATATTCTTTGACATCATATATAAACTCAAATGCCTTTCTACATATTTTTTGTTCCTGAAATGTGTACGTATACTTTGTTCTCTTTCGAGGGTTTGATAATTTTTTCCCAAAGCCAAACTGATTTAAACTGGTCATAATCATAATTTCCTTCTCTGCCTTCTCCAAATCCCGAATGCTGTATATATGATCAGTAAGTTGCTCAATGGAAAAATTGTCAAGGCAGTTTTTTGAACACGTACAACCAGCTCTTGCAATACAAAAATTCTCACTACAATCATTCTCATCTTGTACACCTGTGGGGTCTGTCTCTGTAGCATGATCATAATCAGAATCAAAGAACAGATGAGCTAGTCTTTCTACAGATAAAGGTTCACGCAAATCAGCATCACATTCAGTATCCAGTTCACCAGAACTGTCTTCATAAAATTGATGTTGTGAATGAGCTGAGTTTGCTATACCCAAATGTTCCTCAAATATATTTTCTAGCTCCTATCAAAAATAAATAAATAGAATAAAATATTATATTAATAAAATAAAATTTTAGAATTTTACTTATGTATTCTTATTTTTCATTTATGAAATATTTTTAATGTATCTATGTATATTTTGTGAAAATTGGAATGCCTATAAATCACACAACGTGTAGCCGGTTTTTTCATAACTTTTTATTTATTTATTTACTTATTTATTTATTTTTGCCGGGTATGTGACATAATTTGCTTGGTATAGCACAAATCACTTTTGTAACCATTTCTTTAATCACAACTTAGCGGACACTAGACATTAATTTTAATATCAGTTTCTATATGATACTACGTGAACTAAAAGTATCCCCAATTGTTTAAATTAATGTGTTACTTATGTGTACCATTACCAACATATGTATGCCTCTAATTTTAATTAAATAAAAAAAATAAATTTTATAAATTACTATTCATGTATGCAATTCTTTTTGAGTGAATAATTATTATTATGATTTTTTTATGCATGTACTTGTATTTATATACTTGTATTTATTTTGATTTATTTATTGTCAAATCTATAAAATACAAATTTCATTTATTCCTTACTCTTATTCTTAAAAATGGAAATAATTTTGTGTGTTTATAAATTTATTGGGTAAACACAATGTATAAGGTTTTCTACAATCTCTCTCTCCCCCCCCCCCCCCTTGATAACCCCTTTCAAGAGTACCGGCCCTTTGTTTACATTAGAAACGTCTAACAACAAAACTAGCCTACTATGTCTCTCGGTTTTAAAGTTAGCGTTTTACTGAACAACTTGTCTTTTAACTCGATTGGAACCAAAACAAGTATAATCTAGTTATTTTCCGGCTTTTAAGGTACAAAACGGGTATTTATCGATTGTTAATCAATGTGAAGTCGAAAGCATCGATCCCCATGCGATCGACTTACGCTCGAATCCGTTGAAGACGAATCGACATGAATGTTTTGACAATCAGCAAGAATACTTTTGACATCTAAGATTTATTTTTAGTAGTGTATAGAGAAAGTAACAGAATGAGATCAACTATAAAATGCTTTAATTAAAGATTTGTTTGCTTTTTTAAAGTTATCGAACTTGAAAACGATATGGTATACATCTATATAGGCCTGCCGTAAAATGTGGATACACATGTAGACTTCTGGTACAGATAGCAAACATTTACAAATAAAATAAATATCTAATTTTTATTAGTTGCTAATTATAATTCTGTTTCCGAAAACGCTTACCTGAAACTGGTCCATCAGCATTCATCTTTCAGTTGCATGAATAGATGTGAAGAAAAAACGAGTGACAAGTTGACACAGAATTTTATTTTGCAGAAGTAAATTTTGCGTTTTCATATCATTGATTTTAGACGCAATTTTCGACGTTACGTCATAATTGAGCTAAGGGAGGTTTTTGCTTGGCGGGCCACAAATGGTAAAGATTGATATTAGAATATATTGGTTCATAATGATGAAAAGATTGCGAGCAAAATACTGGACCTCCGTATAAAATGTAGTGAAAGATATGTAGAGTAAGCCTTCCGAGTGGGTTGACACTACTGTGAGCCTTTAGTATTAATACATTCCATCTTATTTGCCTACTTGGTAAGAATATATAGTAAATTGGACGGGCCTTACTCTATATAAACTTTTCAGTGTGTTTAAGAGCACCATATATACAACTACTAATGGTGTATTGATTGATCTCAAATACACGTCTTGGCTTGAGACACTCTTTAAAGAAGAACCAGGGGAAAATTTAACCATAGACAACATTGAAGAAAACATAAAACCAGAATTAGCTAATGGAGAAGAGTACCTTGTTTGGTTTGGTCGACAGCTACCTTGAGCCACTTGTGGGAGATGACACTTCTCACGTATGTTCTGAATTTTGGTACTAGTGTTAAAGATTCCAAGGAGTTAGAAAACGAAGGAAGTGAAACCCTTCATAAAACTGATGTTACAACCCAATGTGTTCTGCATGTGAGTCTTAAAGATTAAGAATCTGTTGTCATTGGTTGATATATGTTCCCAGAAGATTCCCGCTGAGCTGACTACAAGCAGCAAACCAACCATATATGCCAGACAACAAGCAAATTGAAGTTGTCCTTTCACGTTCTTGCACAAAAATAAGAACTCCTGGTACCTTCTCCCGATACTTTCACTAAGCTTATCGAAGTTTTTGTAAGAATTTTCCCAATTTCTTAAACTACACTTTTCCTTGTTTCTTCTAGCATAATTACTGTGTTTACGTATGATACTAAATCAGAACACATTTATTTTACGCATTATTGAACACTTTTACATACATGCACCCGATCAGCTGCTAATTTATATGAATTAATAATAAGCTACATAATTAAACGAGTAATTTGTTCATGAACAAGTTCTCTATATAAAATTTGAGAAAATAAAGTGCCGCGCCACAGCATGATACGCCCGTCAAAAAATTACAATTTTCTTGAACAGCTTAGGTGCAAAAAATCACATCAACCTTGATTCTAAGATTTCGATGATTTTTCCATTCCTTAAAATATTTATCCATTCCCTGTGATGTAGGCATCAATTATAATAAATATTACATCACTTATAGATTTCTGTGCTGGTTGTGTTAGACCTTGTCAAATGCCCATCATCAAATTAGTCTTAACAACTTAATCTATACCAAATTAATTTTGAAAAAAAGGCTGGCCATCAAATGACATATGTTATAAACTGACCAGCAGTTCTTCTGTCTAATCCCCAAAGGGCTGCTTAATCAGAGCGACTGAAACAGCTGGCCTTCCTACATTGAACTCATTAATTAATCTTTAACTGAATTCTTGTCTACTCATTACTACCAAGAGATGAATGGGTCTGCACTATCCACTAAAATTTTTTTTTAAAAACATATAAAATACTCTCAAATTTTTTTTTTGGTTGAGATTTAATGTCCGACAGGTTTTAGTATGTAATTCATATGGACATGCTGATTTAACCCCACCCCATAAAATTAGTTTTTTAATTAATAATATTACATAATATCAGATTAGTCTATTATGCAATATTGAATTAGTTTTAATTACTTTTCATCAAATTCATTTATAAACTTAAGCTAATCAACAAGAGCTATTTTTAATCAAACAGGCTTACCCATTTGCCCAATTCTCAGGGGATATAGATAACCCCAATGCTCTGTCAGTTAACTGCTGCACTCAAAACCCATTAATTTCTCTCTAATTTGACATGCAATTTTCTGTTATCAAAATTCTTCTTGACCAGTGCCTGATAATTACACTCATGGGAGACATGGGATTTCTCTAACATACATTATATTTGTTTTAGATTGCTGTCAAGTTTATGCTTAAAAAAAATAAGTATTTTCTTGATTTAACACTTTTTTAATAAGAACAGTGCAATACTTTTACATTATTTGGGATGTGTAAATGAATAGTAAAAAGACACATTTTTTTTTTTAAAAATTCACTTAAATTAAAGGTCACAGTGACCTTGAAATAGGTCGCGACACACCTTCTACCTAAGATGCATAAACTGGCCAAGTTTGATGATTGTAGGTCTTATGGTTTTCTAGTTATGGACCGGAAAGGATTTTTCCATATTTGGCTATAACTTTTTAATTAAAGGTCAGAGCGACCTACTTTTTGCGCGCGACACACCTTCTACCCAAGATGCATCAGATGACAAAGTTTGATAATCCTAGGCCTAGTAGTATTAAAGTTATGAGCCGGAAACGAAAAAGTTGCTGGCAGGAAAAAGATTCCTCTCTGCTCAATGACCCGGAGCGCCAACATAGAAGAATATATAGCTCTCAACAGGCAAGTGGTCAGTTCTCCATACGAGTGAAAAAATCTCGAGAGGGACGTTAAACAACATAACAATCAATAAATCATCAAGAAGTTTCTGGTGAAAGTGTGTTCAATAAAAGTAGTTTTACTATATATTTAGGTACGTGCCAAGCAACATGCGCTCTGTTGTGATGGCTGTGAGAGGTGGCAGCATCGCATGTGTGATATTGGTATTTCCTGTTCTTTGTAATTGGCTACGATGCGTGGAGAAAGTGTCATCTCGTGAAACTGCAGGGACTGCACCCAATAATCGCATATGCCTGGAGAGGAGAGTTCCATTATCCCACCTACTCTTGAGTCCGCTAGGCTAGAGATTTCTTTTTTACCATATGTTAAGAGTATTTTACTAAATTAATAACTGTAATTAAACAATTATAATAATCTAAGTAGATTATCTGTCAGAAGATCAATCTTGTTGATATCATGTATTATATTATGTTCAAATATTTCAGGCTCCAATTGTGTCTAATGCAACTCGAGAGCTGACCGTGAGGAAACTGTCAGGGATGAGGGGGTAATGGAAACGGAGTAGCCCGTTCCTAGACCATTAGATGCTACCTTTGTCATCGACAGTGAGCCTGATGCCATTTTCGACCTTGCCGAAGAGCCTGATGCTGCACCTATGCCACCTTCGTTACATCTGATGATGCCACAGAATTAGATGCACCCTTTGATATAACCAGGATAGCAGCTGTCATGTCATATGACATGTCATATATCAAAATAAAATGGACACCTAATGCTTTCATTTTCTATAGTGAAATTTCGTTTGAGAATCCAGATATTGGAAAACAGGTTTGAAAAATAGCAATGTTCTTGAAATTTGCAGAAAACACGCGTATTTGAATACCTTCAGCAAAAAAATTAAAATATGCACAGCCGACGACTCAAGAATTTTTTTTTAATCTTCAGAAACAGAGTTATAATGGCTAATTGTATTCGGCGCGCCAGCGCGTCCATCTCATCCCAATATCACAATAGTATTTTCTACCTGCATTAAAACACTCAAATGACAGCGATTTTCTTTATAATTTAAGCGTTATCGCTTATATTCAAGTCGACAGCCCGAGCCCGATTGCATTTCTTTTTAGGTGGATCCAGAAAAAATTCTCTAGGAGGTGGTTGCTCATATTACAAGGGAAGAGGTCCAAGGCATAGCTTTAGTAAATTTACTATGTTAGTTTAAATTCCCTTTGATCCATGCATGCCTTTCCACAATTCGTACAAGGGTAATCCGAAACCCGAATTTTGGAATTGGCCTACTTTCGATTTCCTTCTCTCTCTCTCTGGTATATATATATCTCTAAACTTTAACTATAGCATTTAAAAATATAAAAATATTGAGTGCTTTTTATATAAATCTATTTAATGTTTAACATATATATAGGCCTAAGAACTAGGGGAGGGGGCTTACACAGATAGACATCATATTAAATATTGGGGCGTAGGTTTAGCCCCCACTTTCAAAACTGAGGCACGTTGCAGTGTAAGAAGTAGTGTTTGAAAGAACAAAAATCGGTATTGAAAAAATGTTCGATCCTCACCCCCCCTTCCCCCAACGAAATAGGATTTTCGTGTTTGGTCAATAGATACATTTTTTTTCCTTTTTTTTTTTGTTTGCTTGTTAATATTTTTCAGGTTCGATTTTTTTCTTTCACTTAACCCCCCCCGGCCTTTTCAATTTGCTTCCGACGCCAATGTATCAAATTAAAATTTACAAGTATTACGTTATGACCTTAGACTCTAGAGACTGAGTTTAAACTCCTTTTTAAAGACTTGATTTTTATGGCTATAAGCTGCCATACATTGGTATCAATGTTTAAAAAATATTCCTTGTTACGTTTTAAATTAATAGTACTACTAAGAATTACCTTGTCTTTATTAGAGAGGTCTGAGGATGGGGAGACACTTAAGTAAAAGAAATGGCTTTGCTATCAATAGCCCTTTTAAACAAACTTTGGTGAGAAAAATACCTTCTTAATTTATTGAAAAAAATTGAACAAGAAAAAGTCTTACACTTTTTGGTATATCATTCTAAGGTTAGAGTGTGATCAAAACAATCCTTACCTTTTTGACTCTGTGTAATCGCGTCATTTTCTTTTTTATCTAATTCTAACAAACTTCCTAATAGAGCATAAATGAACTTAACTTGAAAAAGTTGTGAACAAAGTGTGAAACATTAAATTTTATTGAAACCGTCATTAAAATCAACACATGTCAGTACTTTCAGTACTTTTTAATTAGTGGAGGATATCGAGCTCGATGTTGTATAAGCGATAGATTTATTCAACAAAATCTGTTGCGCGAGCGCGCCGAATACAATTAGCCGTTATAATTCTGTAATTTCACCCTGAATCGGATGTTGTGCTCTTTATGAAATATTGCTAAATGCTCCAAATTTGTTCATTTTCAAAGGAATATACAGGC